GACTGGGAAAGGATCTTTACCAACCCTATATCTGACAGAGGGCTAACATCTAGAATATATAAAGAACTCAAGAAGTTAAAAAGCAATAAATCAAGTAATCCAATTAAAAAATGGGGTGCAGAGCTAAACAGAAAATTTGCAATAGAAGAATATCAAATGGCAGCGGAACCCTTAAAGGTATGCTCAATGTACTTAATCATCAGGGAAATGCATCTCAAAACGACCCTGAGATTTCACCTTACACCTATCAGAATGGTTAAGATCAAGGACCTCCCCTATAAGTGGACTTAGAGAGGGGCAGGAAAGAGATGAGAAAGGTAGAGTGAAATAGGAAGGGAATGAGGGAGGGAGCTACAGCTGGGATGCAAAGTAAATAAACTGTAATTAATATAAAAATAAAAATTTAATTAAAAAATCTCAAGTGACAACACATGCTGCAGGGGATGTTGAGAAAGTAGAACCCTCCTATATTGCTGGTAGGAAGGTAAACCACTTTGGAAATCAGTATGGTGCTTTCCCAAGTTACAAGTTTTTCAAATTACAAGTTACAAGAACTATTACAAGTTAGGAATAGTGCTGCCTCAAGATCCAGCTATGCCACTCCTAGGCATATACCCAAAATATGTTTCCCTGATTTCTTTCTCAGTATGTTTGTCAACTGTGTAAGGGAACACTGTCCTTGGCTTGGAGATGTTGAGAATCTCTCCACTTCAGCCGCTTTTACCACATTTCTGTCACTGTCTCCATATATTCATCTTCCCCTCATTCCACATTCTGCCACATTAATATCCACATTTCTGCGATATTAATCTCTTTCTTGATTGGGCATTGAGAGTGGGGGATTTGTTTTGTTTTGTTTTCTTGACCTCACACCTCATGACCTCTCTCCTGCTGCCTTCCATTTTGGTTGCTGTCTTCAGCTTTCCTCTCCTGGCATGCACACTGAATTCAACCTTTTTTGGCTTTCCAGCATTGCAAACTCCCTCTTCTGGGATCACAGTGCTTGGAGCCCTTCACCACAATTACTTGATGGAAGCTAACTCAGCACTAGCAACTTGTGGCTAGGGTGCAGCTGGTTTCGTTACACAGCAATTCCTACCTAGTGTCACTTCTGCTTTCTGTAGCCCATTCTTTTTTACTCATTTGATGGCTTTTGATCTTTATTTGTTCCATCCAAATTTCCTGCAATGGATGTTGCTTCTAAACAGGCTTCTTCTCTTTCTTTTATATCTACTTAAGGCTTGAAAAGAATCGTCTTGCACCGTATAGTTTAAAAACAGCCAGAAAAAAAAAAAAAAAAAAAAAGCTAAATGCACATCAGAAAGCTAATTTCAAGGCCCGTATTTCAACTCTTAAATCAGAATTCCAAAGGGGTGGAAACTGAAATTCGTTTTGTCAGGGACCTTAGTACAATGAATATGAAAATTCTTACCATAGGAAACAGTAAAGATGTATCCCCAAGTGTTATATGGCAGTTGGCTAGAAGGAGAAATGCTTTTACATAAAACAAAAGTTTATTCTGGCCATAGTTACCAAGGGAAAAATATGAGACCCATTTTGAAGTGGAATTATACTAGAAAACAAAGAAAAGTAACAAAAGGACCAATAGGAAAAGATAGATAGAGGAAATACAAGAAGTTAAATGTATCGGAACTCTAAACATTTTTTGGTATTGATTTTAAATTAATATTCTTATATCACATCTAATGTGTAGTTACAACTGTAGATGTTAGCACACTCTATTATGCCATAGACAATAAAATGGTTTTTATTATTCAACATTACACCAGAAAAGGGCGATATTTGAAGTCTAAGATGATAAGTTAATTTCATTGCAAAATAGAATTAGTAATACAAGATCTCTTTTAACATTTTCTACATAACAAGTCAGATTTGCAAAATTAAAATGAAGTCATTTCATTTACTGTGTCCTTTGAACCATTAAACAAAATGTACACACACATATTACTTTTCCAAAGTAAATACGGTTAATCAGTAATATCATAGAAAGAGCTAAAGTGATATGAAAATTAAAGGAGTGTCACCACCGGAGGATTATGAAAGCCAAGCTCTGAGTCATTCTTTGTGACTCTGATTTATTAAGACATGAATTTCAGGAATCATTGGTCACATATTGGGGTTACAAGAAATTTGGAAAGAATTAAAAATTTTCAACAATATAATTTTAACATGTGAAAACACTAGAAGTATAACTTACGATTACAAATAAAAAAAATTGTCTTGGGCTATATTCATATCAACATTTTAAAAATACAATTTTCACCCAACGTCCCTTAATTTTTTATATGTTATTAAGGAAGGACAAGATCCTGGCAAGCTCTCTATAATCTACTATAGCTAACTGGTTAACTACCTTTTTCTTCAATATTTCAGAATTTTTTAACTTTATTCTTCCAAAATATATGTCTTTGCAAAATGTGGAGCAAGATTTATAAGCCTACAGATATATCAGGAAAATTAAGTTACAGAAGTATTTTGTTTTAAACTAAATAAATTCATTCATGTTTTAATAAGTCTAATATTCTTATATATTGCATGTATATCATATGCACGTATATATGTAAATAAATGTTTCTGTGTTTCTCATACACTTTAAAGAAATGTCTGTGTAAATAATAGCATTTTTAAAGAACATCTTTTACAAAGGACTAAAGCTTGAAGCTCCAATTTTACTTCCATTAAAAAAAGGTTTAATCTTTTTCGGCTTTTCCTATGAGAGTTGTTGTGTTCAACACAACTTTTTGCCCCTTAGGTCACAGTTTTTTTCCTTTGTGTTTAATTTTGGTATTGATAAGGACTGACTGATAAAACATTTTGAATGTCTTCATTGCCAAATATAATCAGCTTTCTTTCCTGTAAACAATCCCTAAAAATCATATATTCATCCACAGCTCCAAATACAGTACAAGAACTGAACATATGTTGTACTTTTAATGGCCATTTTTCTTATCACTGTGATAATTAAAACTGCAATGCTGATCATGAATACAAGAAAAGATGATCCGTCTCCAAACTGGAGAACTGAAGAAAATTGCTAGAACTTTTGAATAATGCAAGCAAATCCACAAGAACTGATTTACTTTGGAAATTTGGAGATTAATAATTTTATCAATAACAAATATTTCACCTCACAGTTTGCATCCTGTTCTGCTGAGATCTAACTTCAGTGGCATGCCTCTGTTGGGTGGGTAAAAAGTAAATCTCAATAATATTAAAAATATCCATTCATCCTCCATGTAACTACTATGGAGAGCCTATTGTTTGGAGGTTTCTTGATTTTAGAAGGATCAAATATTAAAACTATATCATCATTGGCCTTGAGGCATCAGAGCATCATAAGCAGGACAGAGATGCAATAATTAGAGTAAAACACAGCAGGATATCCAGTCTTAGACAGAGAGCCGAGACATATGAATATATTTTTACACACATAGAGATTTAGTAATTCAGTGGATGAAAATTAAATATTAATGCTAGACATCAAAGAAGTGAATGACAGGGAGGCAAGAGAAAACTCAAATGTTCTTATAGAAGCTTAGACACAAGCCATAATTCTGCTACCTGCAGTTTTTTTGGATCCTACAAGTAACAAGAAAAAATATTTTCTCCTCACTTCAAACATAAAACTGTAGCATTTGTTTAAAGTTAGCATGCACCTTTTATCTATTTTTTGACCTTTTAACGTGTGTGACCCCCCTGGAAATATGGGTTGTTTACAAGTTTATCTCTTAAAAATCACACAAGAAGAAATCGTTTATGCTACTATTGTATGGCAGTTTCTGCAGTAGATATTATCAACCTACAACCCATCCCAGACAGGGAACCTATGACAGGATGAAGTGTGGATAACCACCAAACATGAACTGTGAGAGCCAATGGGTTTGATTGGGCTTAGTTACAGGAATGTGGGTGAGGGGTTGCTTACAGGAGCAGAAATGGCTCAAATGCGGCTGCAGCCTCAAAAGCCCATCCCAGCACAGATGACAGCTGATGAAAATTGAAAACATGGAAGGTCCATGACCTTTAGGAAGCTCAGAACATTGGAGAGTAGCCACTTCAAGGATGCTGAGTGGGTCTCTGCTCTGTCAGGCTGCTGTAGTTGAGCTCTGCTTCTTCCAGGCAGCCTGATCATTCTGAGAGTTTCTCTCAATAATCCTTACAGCTTGTGTATGTTTGAGGAGAGACAAAGAGAGACCACCTGAGACCAATGCTAGCAGGGTTCTGAACCTGAGGACAGAGGTGTGGTGTCAGCGAAAGTGAATAGGCTGACCACTTATTGATGTCCAAGCAAATGGCCCCAAATAGCTTGAGCCATCTTTATACAATAATAAGCCTGCTCACCTGAGCAGTGATATTATTGGTGATTTTATTTAAAGAAATCAAAACATCATCACTACACAAGCCCCCTCCTTACAAAAGCCCTCAATAGTTTCTCTTTCTCCTTCCCCCCTCCCTCTTGGTCAATCACCCTTCAGTCATATGTTGGGATACAAAGCACAATTTCAGAAAGCCAGAATTACTGTCAGAGGCATGTCCTGTGAAGATGAGCACATACAATATCCAGCTGGCAGCAGGTGTGGTTGCACAGTTATGGTGAGAGACAGATTAATAATTTGTGGGTATAAATCCAGTCATCAAACAGCACCCCTTGGTCATAATACTTTTTAAATTACAGGAAGAGATGCGCTGATATGTACCCATTGATTCCTGATATCATCTTTCCGAGAACCATTTTTAAGTCTCTTTTGATCCGATGCAGCTTTCCCAAAACAGTTATGGAAGCAGGACCACTGCTCATTGTGACTGTAACTGTTTCTGGAGGGACAAGATTGTGTCCCAAAACATCCAGGATTAAGGGTCATATCTGGAGGATCAACAGAGGCAGAGGGAGGAGAAGAGGGTTTAACCCCTCAAAAGCGTTTTGAGAAAGACCTAGAATCATCCATGGGGATTTTAGCCTGCATGATCTGGCCTTGCTTATGACCGACAAAGTGAAACTAAATACTGCCAAGAGTGTAAACAGCATAGTGAAAGCAATGAGAGCTTCAAGCTCAGGCAATCTAGGTAATAAGCACAGAGATCATCAAAATTCACCACCTGTTCTTGACAAGTGGGAAGGGGTTTCCACGGGCCTTGCTTCAAGGAGTCCCATCCTTAAAGCACTCAGATATAGGCTGTTTCCTGCAGATGCTGCATGGCCACAACCAAGAGACAGATTTATTTGGTCAGTTTTAGGGACTTCCTGGAGTCTTTGAAATGTGTACTTCCTGAGCTTAATGCGCTTCCTTCCAGGATGGAATGTTTTTACCTCCCTTAGGATCACCCTATTGTTTTACCTCCTTTCTAACACCCTGTGTCTTAACAGGCACCTATCAAAGTTGAAGGTGGAAGGGCTTACTCTAGCATGAGTCTCTACACAACAGCTGAGAAGTAACCATTGACTTTAAAAGATGATGAAATTTCATACTGGATATAGTAAAAGAATTAGGGTTTGTTTACATGTGTGTTTTCATGTTACAGTCCACTCGGTTCGGATAATAGAAAGCAAATCACAGATTTCAAATCAATTAATTGTATCTGTGCTGTTCAAACAGCACAGACATGGGCATCACAGGAACCTGGAATGGAAGACACGGTTAGATAGAGACATAAGACACCTGGTTGGCTGCAAGAATGAACAGTTTGTATTCTTCCCCACTGGTGTTTATATATTACTCATCTAGCTATTAGAGACCTCACTGGAAGTAGAGATGAAGCCTCTTTACCCACCTTATCTGAGTTCTTTCCTCTGTACTTCCTTGTCCTTGTGGCCTTGTTTTTCCCAGAAGAATATTCTGCATGGATCTTATTTCATGGCTGCAGTTTTCCACAGTCATGTGACCACATCTGGGTCAGAATTTGTGCTTTAGAAAGGAGCTGTGATAATCTGGACCCCAACATATCTGAACCGGTAACACTTTTCTAATATATATATTCCTACTTCAACTTTAATACTATTAGATTCAAACTACTGATTTTGGAGTTCAGGGTGTTAATAAATCCATTTAATGACCTCAAGGGAAAACAAATGAGGCTTATTTCTGGAAGTTCTTTTCAGTGTTTTATTCAGCACTGTGATGTTCTGTTTCTGCATTCATGTGTCTGTATCAGTAAGTAAACCTAGATCATGACACCAAAGCAATTAGACGTTAATTATATCTCTTTATTATTAAGACTGATGTTTTTACAACTAAATAGATTACCTTTTAGATTTTGTTAAAAGAATGAAAGAGCAGCTTTTAAATGAAATACAATCATAGGGAAAGACAAAATGTGATTGAAAACATGCATAAAATGATTCATAAAATATTTTACAGCAAAAAATATAAAAAAGTCTCATTAGATTTTCAATGTCTTAGTTTCCAGAAAAAAAAAAAAAAA